TGAGGGCTGTTCCAGGGCACTGGCTAAGCTGTGTGGTTCCGATTCTTTCCCTGGATCATCTCTGGCCTTTGAAAAGATGCCTACAAGGACAAGGTGGATCCAGTCAGGATCAGATAGCTTGCTGATCAGTGGTAAGATTACATTGCATATAATGAGTTCAACCACTACATAGGACCCAGTCCGGGTCTCTAAGTGAGGCTTAGGCACTAGTCCTCAAAGCAACACATCCACAATGCCACATGTATGGGTGACCTCAGTGCTGGGGCTCTGCACAGCAGGATGTGGGGCTATAACCTGGCAGTAAGTCTTCCAGATTTGGGAGGGCTTAATTGAACCACTTTGTTTCCCTGCAGTGGCTGCCTTTGCCTGAATATAGTTCTGCAGGTGACAACCACAGAGAGTCAGAACCCTCTGGGCAAGAGCATGACTGTCCACCAGGCTCATTCTTTTCCGGAGCTCCTGGACTAATCCTTTCATGGCTGTCTCCATCTCTTCTTCAAAGGCTGGCTCCTGGCTTACTAAGCGATACCAGGATGACACAAAGTCCCGGATAATCATCTGGATGGTGTGGTTGATCTGTTCCAGCTGCCTCTCTGCCTCAGGGCTTGGAGGGCAGGTGGCCATTGGGATGAAACGTTCCAGATACAGTTGACCTGTCACTCCTACAATGGCACTGGAGCCCAGCCATCCTCCCAGCACAACTAGCAAAGCAGACAGAAGACACACATTGACCAGAACGTGGATAACCAGGAGCCAGCCCAGCACGAACCCACAGTCATCAGCTTCCGGCTATCCAACAGGTTAAGGCTACTGCTGGACCCACCTGAGGACCCATGACTTGAGGGCACAGTCTCTGCCTTCATGGCTCTAAGGACCAGGTGGCTCCCCCAGTCGGCAGCCCTCTTTCTACTAAGAATAGAGGAGTTTCAGAGTTGGAGAAGAGGGAGTTAAGCTGCGTCCTTGATTTAAAAAATCTGGGGCATTATTCAGGAAATTAGGTCGGGCCCTCAAAGTCCATCAGGCACCGCAGGGCTGGGACAGCTGTTTGTTCCCTCACTTCCGCCAACATATCACCCAAACTAGAGCCTTCAGGTCATGCTTTTGGGAGACGCTGCAGCCTTCATTGCACAGAGAGGGGGTCTCTGTGCTGCCTCAGAGAGGGCGGTGTAGAAACCTTCAGGTCCCCCGACACTTACAAATGCCCTACGGCTGCTTTCAATCGGGACCTGATCAGACATAAGCAGTGAAGCGGATCCATCTGGTGTTCTTTCCGTCAATCCTAGCTCGCACCCATGGCAGGGTAGGGCCGAGAGG